GTGCGGGGGGGGTGGGGTGGTGGGGGGGGGGGGGGGGTTTACAGATGACAAAAATCTCTACCAGTGGGCGAAACCAGTGGAGGTTGAAAATAACAAGTTGTTTATCAACTGGTCCCTGGGTCCCTCGTCCTAATAATCATGAGACAAACAGCACCACCTGTAGTAAGTTACTGGACATTGACTAAAAGACAAAGACATGAAAAAGGGGTAAAATATGAATATCACAGGGCATTGATAAGACGAGTGGAGGAGTGGAGAGGAGAGGAGAGGAGAGGAGGGGAGAGGAGAGGAGAGGAGAGGAGGGGAGAGGAGAGGAGAGGAGAGCAGAGGAGAGGAGAGGAGAGCAGAGGAGAGGAGAGGAGAGGAAAGGAGAGGAGGGGATGGGATGGGAGAGGAGAAGCGAAGAGAAGAGAAGAAAAGAGGAGAGAAGAGAAGAGAAGAGAAGAGTAGAGAAGAGGAGAGGAGAGAAGAGAAGAGAAGAGGAGAGAAGAGAAGAGAAGAGAAGAGTAGAGAAGAGGAGAGGAGAGAAGAGAAGAGAAGAGAAGAGTAGAGAAGAGGAGAGGAGAGAAGAGAAGAGGAGAGAAGAGAAGAGGAGAGAAGAGAAGAGAAGAGGAGTGCAGAGGAGAGGAGAGGAGAGGAGAGGAAAGGAGAGGAGGGGATGGGATGGGAGAGGAGAAGCGAAGAGAAGAGAAGAAAAGAGGAGAGAAGAGAAGAGAAGAGTAGAGAAGAGGAGAGGAGAGGAGGGGAGGGGAGGGGAGGAGAAAAGAGAAGAGAAGAGAAGAGAAGAGAAGAGAAGAGAAGAGAAGAGAAGAGAAGAGAAGAGAAGAGAAGAGAAGAGAAGAGAAGAGAAGAGAAGAGAAGAGAAGAGAAGAGAAGAGAAGAGAAGAGAAGAGAAGAGAAGAGAAGAGAAGAGGAGAGGAGAGGAGGAGACATATGGACAGTCAGATGGAGGTATATTAGAATGAGGAGAATCCAGCAGTGACAGTGTTAAATCCCCTGACGAGAAGCAATAACCATCTAAAGTCTATGATTAGTGAACCACCCACCCACACACACACACACACACACACACACACACACACACACACACACACACCTCTTTTAGCCAGTCCATTTCGAAGACTAAAACAAAACACTTGACCAAAAGTTGGTTTCAAAATGTTAAAAGAAAAATCTAAAAATGTATTTTAGTTCGACTGAACAAAAAAAAAAAAAAAAAAAAGGACTTCCTGCAGTTGAAAAGCACTCTAGCACACATTCAGACATATGTTCACAGACGCACAAAAAACGGTGACACAAGGTGAACTCAGCATGGGGCGCTGTCACATATGTCACTGTGACCACCAGTCACTCACATATGCTGCTCTGAATCCTAAGAACACACACAAACACACACACACAAACACACACACACACACTACCAACCAGAACAGAGTGTTAACCTCAGGGGTCAAGGTCAGGGTGGTTGGCAGCCAACGGGGTTGAAACCCGCTGTTGCCCTCTGTGAGAAGGAGGAAACAAACTGGGCAGCACATGCACATGCTGCTCTGGAAAAACACACACACACACACACATACATACCATTTTGACTCATTTCTAATTCATAAAGTAAAAAAAAAACCCTTATATTTCAGATATATTTTTCATATATGACAGTAATTAACTATGACCTTCAACTTGACTCTTCACCCCACTGTGACCACTGCGGTCATTGAACAACACCGTACGGGAAACAGCAGCGTTCAGTCAGTCACCTGAGATGGAGCCCAGCAGCACGTTGTTCTTGATGCAACGGTAGACGTAGTCGTAGCTCTGGGGTTTGAGGGGAGATCCAGTCGACAGGATGGTGTGAAGGGACTGCAGGTTGTGTGTTTCCACTAGAAGAAAATGAAAAGAAAAAACAGTGTAAATATATATATATATATAAATGTAAAAAATATATATATATAAATATATATATAAATATATACACAATATATATATATAAATATATATACACAATATATATATAAATATATACCCACATATATACACACATATATACATTATATATATATATATATATATATAAAACTTACATACAAAAACCTACATCACTGACCCTGCACTTAACTGCAGTAACTGTTACTACATGTGTACATGTTGACAAAAAAATGACAGCAACATACTGTACATATATGTATATATAAAAGTATATGTGTGTTTGTAGCATGTTACCGAAAACATTACTGTGCAATACCCACGTGTACAAGTTTACAAAAACCGGACAATGAAATATAGGTGTAAATGTGTGCAATATATAGTACATATATATATACACATATATATATATACATATATATACACATATATATATATACATATATATACACATATATATATACATAAATAAGTGTTTTCCGGTTGTTGGTCATCAACAACAGTCGCTCTGAGGCCTGATTCGAACCTGATACGTAATCATTAGGATACTCCCACGTATGCAGTATGGGGGGGGGGGGGGGGGTGTTAACAACGAAGTGCGCGCTAACAATGACAGTGTGTGTGTGTGTGTGTGTGTCAGCTAATTCCCCGCTGTGATTTAAAAATGAACTCACTAAATTGAGCTATAATTACGGCTTGATCGTGTTCAACAAGCAAAGCCCTGTCATCCCCCCTTCGCCCCCTGCTGTTTCCAAGGAGAAGCCAAGCATTCAACAAGACTGGTCTAAATATACTCCAAACAGCTGCATGGAATATACAGTATATAAAATATACACGTACAGAAAAAGACAGACGGGAGTCTGGGGGTGCGGGAGGGGGGAGTCGATCCAAGGTGTGTCCGAACTAGGAGGGGGATTCATGGCTAATCGAGATGGAAACAAACTGTGGGTCGGGGTCCAGATTTGTGCCTTCTCTTTTGGCCTGTGCTCTGATTCAGTTCAAATATAAGTCAATTTTATTCCTATAAAAAACATACACATTTGCCTGAGTGGGCTGGACAAACTGGGAGTTCTACGAGAATTGTGGGAAAAAAAGTCAAGACAGGAAACAGTAGAAATATCCTCCGTATGAATCTAGTGGATGGCACGCAAACACTGTCTTTTGCGTTTCTTTCTTCTGATCGGTTCACTGCTGCAGCTCTCTCTCTCTCTCTCTCTCTCTTTCTCTCTCTCTCAGAATGCCATGCCTCCAGGAGTCCTGGTCCAAATGTCAGCACAGGGAAAAGGGCCACTCCACTGGGACAACCAGTGAAGAAGCTTCCCTCTGCTGGCCTCCCAACCTGCCAGAAGCATGCTTTGACACACACACACACATGCACGCACACACGCACACACACACAGATCAATAGATAATAGATAGATCGCCCTCTGCTGCACCGTTCTCTAATAAGCATCCAAAGGAACAGACAGAGTCCAACTGAGTCCACTGATTGTCCAACGGACAGGACGAGGATAGACAGACAGAGAGAGAGAAAGACAGGCAGACAGACAGGACACCTTGATGAGGACCTCTCTTTGTCTGTCTGTGTGACTGAATGTCCCTTTTTCTTGGAGGGAGTGGGGGGGCGGGTCAACAAATTTACGAAAAATATCTACTTTCATACTTCTTACTTCCTGCAAGTCATTTCTCTGGACCTTTAATCTAGTCTAACGATTATAAATTATTTCAGCAGAGGGCGCAAAAATCAACCAAATCCGTACATTTAACAAACACTGAGGGGGAAAAAAAAAAAAAAAAAAACTTGGACTTGCATTCTTACCGCATCTGCCTGCTCACCTACTCCCCCTAGTGGCATCATGGCAGATTGACGTTTGATTAAAGTAGCATCATTTATTTAGCAGAGCTGGAGCCAATGGCAGCAGTCAACACTCCATGCATCACAGATAGACATCCATTCACACTCACATTCACACCGACAGCGTGAATAGGCGTCCAAGTGACATGATGCAGTATGTATTTTGACCGGACCAGGGACACGCACAAAACCTCCATGGGGGACAATGGAACAACGAACCTTTCCGGAAGACAAGCTCGCTAGCCACTTCTGCCACCCTGTGGCCAGAGTACAGAATCAGCAGCTGAGACTCAACAAACAATGATGAATTTAAATCACATCATTATTTAGGAGCTGAGTGAAAACACCTGGAACACTCGGCCGGCGGAAATAACAACGTCCGGCAACGTCATTTCTATGTCATTACCTCAGCGGACGATCACAAAGTGTTAAGCATTAAGCAGGTTTTCACAAAAAAAAACCGCAGGCAAATGGTCCACGAGAACGAGGCCTGCCGGTTTCACCCGTACAATTTAAACCATTAAGTGCCTTTTAGCTGTTGTGATGCGGGGGGGGGGGGGGGAGGGGCGGACGATGGCACAATCAAAATGTCATGTATGAAGGTTAGCGGCGAGGCTAATAAGCCGCTGGCACAGCTCTGATTGTATGCAGAGACCTGGCTATTTGAGGTTCCTCTCCATGACTCATACAAACGATCCTGAAGCACTTTTTTTTTTTTTTTCTTAATCCATTTGATCCAGGGTCAAACAACTGTTGGGTCACACACACACAGCAAACGGCACAAAAGACGGGCCGGGAGTCCGACAGCGTCGCTTTAATAATCATTATCGTGTCCATCTGTTCTAAGGTTCCATTCTCAGGTGTGTGTGTGTGTGTTTCTCTCTTTAGGTTCCCAGCTCGTTATTTGTGTGCATCCATGTGTGTCTGTGGATGTCTGTGTTCCTGTTCACAAAGGTGTGCAGAGGATTGTCTTTTTTGGACCACAACTCACTGGGTTTCAGGTTCCTCTCCTGCAGCACAGCCAGCCACTTGGCCCCAGTACCAAAGATAGTTATGCTAGAAAAAAAAAAAAAAACAGAACACACAGAGAGAGAGAGAGAGAGAGAACGTGTCAATGATGTAAACAAAACAGTGGAAATGATTTTTTTGTTTTAGCTTGACACAAAAAGAATCTTTTGTTTTGCCACAAATGTTTAATTAATCTTTGTTGTTTGTTGCTGCAGTGCCGCATAAAACCTCGTCACAAACGGAACAATCTGTGAATGCTTTCGTTATTATACCTCAATTAAATACTCATACTCCGAAACGCGTATCGATCCTATACCTGGATACCTTTATGAGTACCAGTCAACCAGTATTTTCTGTTTCCCTCTCACAGCTCAGTGTCTCAGTTGTCCTCATGAGGTGTTTCATTAAAGTAGGTCAACAATTGTGTCCATAGTTCGGAGGGAGTTTAAGATCAGGGGTCGAAGACCAACCGTAGGATCGGTTCAGTAACGAACTGAGAAACATCTCGCTCAAAGGCAAGCGATCTAACCACTGACTCCGCCCTGAGGCCCTGCAGTAAAACAGCGACTGAGTTCAAAACGTCGTCTTGTTTTCTATGGTCCAAAGTCATGTGTAATGTGGACCAGTGGGTACAGAAAATGTTCAGATTGCAGGTTGCTGGGGGCAATGCTTAAGGAAGTAGGTTTGTGTCCGGAAGGTCGTAGGTTCGAATCCACCAGCCATCAGGTTCCACTGAGGTTTTTTCATTGTACCGTCCAGTGCAATGACAATAAAGACTAGTCTATTCTGAGGATGGCAACCGTCCCCAGAGTATTCAGCAAGATGACGGGATAAAGAAAGAGGTCACATTTGGTTGTGTGCGGTGGAGTGCACTTTGCCAATAAATCACTTACGGACTCCAAATGCCAAAGAACAACAAGATATGTGACTTAATCAAAATAATTTGAACTTATTGATTGGGAAATGCTTGTGTTAACAGCAGATCTGCTGCAAAAAGGCTGCCCCCTGTCAGGCACCAAGCATGTGATTCCTCTCTGAATCGAACCCAGGACTCTCTGCTCTCTGCTTCTGAGGCTACACTATGGCACCATCTTGACGTTACTGTTATTTTTTGTTTAAAACATCGTCATCATTCAGCAATCGTGATTTGATGCAAATGTTACAAACAGCCTTTTTTCCCCAACGCTCCTAAAGGTAGTGATTAATAGTCGACCTCCGAGAAACAAAGGAAAAACACGGGCGTGGTTCCCTGCTCCGTTGCACGAGGAGCCATAACTGTAACCGCCTCTCTGAGTAGAATTCCAAAAACAAAGTTACTCAACGGCCTCTGCCTTTAATCCCTTCTGCTCCAGTGAAGCTGCTCAGCATCCGAGTGTGTGTCACTGTGTACTGAGCCAAACCTCCACTGGGAGATAAGGTGGAGGGAAAAACAAAACAAAAAAACAACTGGTGTGGTAATTGAGTTTAAAGTGAACAAACACATTAAGATCAACCACAGTGGCGGTCAGGTTGGTGCGGGACAAATGTCTCCGTTGTAACCGTTTCACCAGCGGCGGCTTCAAAGGAGGAGGCGGCCACCAGGTTGCTTACATTCTGACGTGAAGTGATTTTTTTTTTTTTTTTTTTGAACCGGCTTTCTTCTATGGATCAAAGTGAAGCACTGAAGGCTGACAACACGTAGATGGTGAGAAGTGACAGAACGTCACTCTGATGTTCTTCTGCAGTTCCACCTTAGAAACAAAGGTCTGGTTTTTTTTTGTTTTTTTTTTAAAGCCTGCGTCTGTTAATGGACCTGTTCTCCTTGTTCAGCGTCTCTCTGTGTCTTTTCAAGTTCTTTCAGTTGACACGTTGATCAATTCATTTGCCAAATATTGCTATAGTAACCAGGGCAGGTCAATCAAAACTAGAAAAGAATCTGTCTGCAGGTACACAAAGCATCTGTCCGGTGAATGATTGGTCAATAGCCTGCCATTTTGGTGTCTGGAAAAAATGTGATTTGTTCTGAGAAGTTCGAATTGATTTCTGTTAATACGGGCTCTCGGTGGGGAAAGACGTGGTGTCAAAGCTCAGAGGTCCAGAGAAATTAAATCTCACACAATGAAACAAAAAAGACAATGACGGAAATGTGCCTCAGACAGACTGCCAGTTTTGGAAACCATTTGCAAGTTTGTACCAAAGCTCATTCGAGATATCAAAAGAAAATGGCTGACGTCAATTGAATTATTTATTTATTACTAATAAAAGCAAAACTTTCCTTTTCTATAACTTTATTTTTTCAGGTTATTATTCAAGCAACTTGAATATTCAACAATATATGTACGTATATATGTACATGTATATGTACATATAAGTACATATACTATATATGCACATATATTTATGTACATATATATGCACACATTTATGTTCATATATATGGGCATAAATATATGTGCATACGTATGCACATATATTTAAGCATAGATAAATAGAGATAAACGGAGTTCCCTTTGGGAAATTAAGACTATATATACACATACATACGTACATATATAGCTAGATATATTTTAAAAAATATATATACATATATTTAAACACGTACAAATACATACAAACAAATATGTCCATATACTGTACGTATGTACGTATATATGCACATGTATACACATACTGTATATACGATGGTGACAATTGTTCATTAGTAATATGAAGGCACAGCGTAAAATGCTAATACTTCAAAAAGACTAAAAAAATTTAAATATGGCCTGTTTCAACCATCGGACCATCACCCTAATACTGCATGCACGTAGTGATGTACTATAAAGTCATTTCACACTCTCTCTCTTTCTCTCTCTCTCTCTCTCTCTCTCTCTCTCAGCCTGATCGCCCCATCTGAACATCTGCATTCGTTTTCGGCCGGCTGCCATGGAAATGAAGCCTGTGTCCTGATTGGAGGCAGGTGGCCAGGTGCAGCTGCTAACTAACTGTTTAGTATGGAGCGTAGGAAGAGACACCGTGGGCTTGTGAGTTTGACGGAGCATGTGTCTGCATGTCACACTGCACCGCCGTTATCTGCTTCGAGGATTACCGCAAGCTCCAAAGCCAATAAGGGACACTCCAAACCAATCAGACGGCAGAGCACCACCCTGCAGTTTTCAACGTTAATGTGTCTCTACACGCTGCGATGTCGCGTCCAGAGTCCCATTTGTGAGCGCACGTTTTTTCTGATGTGCCTTCACACTAGGAACTGAAACAGCTCTCTTCTGCAGCAGACGCAGCTTGACTCTATGATGGTGTGATTCTTTACAGATTATGCAGCACTACATCTCTTTAACTACACTGCTCCAGCTTCCTGTAACGCTGCGGCATCTAGATCACGGACTCCCAACCCATGTGCCGCAGCACGCAAGTGTGACATGTGAGAGAGAGCATCAGGTGTACGAGTTAAAAACGAGCCATTTAACACTAAAACCGTTCGGAAGACTGTCACTAATTGAAATCAAATAGTTTGCCTGCGAGATACTGAAAGGCGGAACATTCTTCCATTTGAGGGCAGCAGAGGGCTAAAAAAAAAGTAAAAAAAGAGAAAGACTCAATGCTGTTGAAGAAGATCTTCATGTGTGTCTTTCTTCAATTCCTGTGGTTATCAGTCTTGTGTTCAGCTAAACAGGCCCAGGTTTCACGCTGAGTAAGTAAATTGTGGGGAAATTTTAAAAAAAAGATCATTATATTACATTATGTGACATTTTGTCTAGTGGTGTCTTTGGACTTTTTTTTTAATAATATGCAAATAGCTAATAAAAAATAATAAATCAGCAATACGTTGACGATATCTGAATACAAGACGTTCTGTGTAAATGATTGATTCCTTGGCAGAAAAATCTAAAGATCAACAAGCTGCCAACCTGAACCCGTTATAATCACATGGAGAATATTCATATTATATATTGGCCTCAGGTTTATCCCTTTGAATACTAGTACAGTCTAGTACAGTAACAAAAGGGTCTAGTTTTATCTGCTGAACTCTTCCGCACCGATGCAGTAGGTTATCTTCTGGGAGAGTTATCGCTCCACCGAAGATAACCAGGGCTAACACTTTGGCAATAGAACAAGACAAGGTTCCTGGATCGAGATAGTACAAATCCTATTGTTGCATCAGACCGGTACATAATGGACAAAAGATAAAAAGATGACAAGATTATCCTCAGAAAAAGGCTAGCCTGAAATTCCCATATGTACAGAACGCGGAACCTGTCAGGACTATAAACGCCGTAACCTTTTCTTTTTTGGCTCAACTCTGAATAACGCTGAATTTATGCCCTCTGAAGAGAGGCCCGGTAAATCCAATTTGCTTGCGTTGAAGAGGTATGGAAGTTGCTCAAGCAAAATGTTCTCGGCCATACAGGTTTAAAGCATATTTAACAGTTGGGCTGTGGGTGCAGGAACTCAAGTGTGTTTTATTTTTTTATAAAATGAGTGAAAACTATTTCACCTATTTGCCTGCTGGTAAATGTTTTACTGATACAGTTTGTCTGCACGTGCATTTGATTGCTTTGTTTGTAGAATAGGGTAAGTGAATATTCACTTAGATTTTATACAAAGAATGATATATAATATATACATATATACATGTACATATATAAATATATATTTACACATACACATATATACACATACGCATACACATATTTATATATATATACACATGTATAAACACGATTTGCCTGCTGGTAAATGTTTTACTGATACAGTTTGTCTGCACGTGCATTTGATTGCTTTGTTTGTAGAATAGGGTAAGTGAATATTCACTTAGATTTTATACAAAGAATGATATATAATATATACATATATACATGTACATATCAGTGGTGCAGGTAGTTACCTTCACTATATACACATACGCATACACATATTTATCACACATATATATACATATATACACATATATACATATATACATATATATACACACATATATACATATATGTACATATATATACTGTTACTGTTACTTAGTCAGTGGTGCAGGTAGTTACCTTCTGTTGCCCGAGCACTAACGCTGCTAACGCTCTGACCGTGTGTCTAGGCCAACCAACCCACGGCTGCTCCAATAACCTGGTTCAATTTAGTGCCCAGCGTGCAGGATGGGTCAACGACGACAGCGTCACTCTGGAGGCGGCGAGGTACTCTCGGCCTGTTACTGTATATAAGGCCCCTTAGACTCTGACAGATTAATAATAGCCAACCTTAGCACAGGAGATGAGGGTGCAAAAACTTCCCTGCTAGCCTCTCCCAGAGCGCAGCATGTGGGTAAATGTGTCTGAACTGGCAACATCCTCACTTAATTGGTTCAAAAATCTTCTCGCTTTGTAAAAGGTTCCATCCATCTTTCTGTCACGCTGGCTCCCTCTAGCTGTATTTTGTCGGTGCGGGTAATTACACTAACAACATTCCAACCTTGTTCACGCCGTTTGTTAAAAAAAAAAAAAAAAAAAAGCCACATAAAAAATACTATAAACTTGATAATAGTATAAATACATATATAAATATAAATAAAGAAAACTGTATCTTGCCAACTTTGAAAGTTATACAGTCCTACCATCACACAGCCATCCCTACATTTGATCATGCAGCGTCTACTCAAATTGTGAAAGGAGCTCATTAGCTTTGAGATCCGCGAATCCTGTTCCGACTTTCTGCAGTATAAGTACTTTTCCCCGGCACTTTTGCTCTACTGACTTCACTACTCCCCCTCTGTGTCAATTTTTTCTCCCCATTACTTCCCTTCCTTGCTGAAGGCAATATGCCATCTCTGCGGCACAGAATGTGTGTCTGGGGTATAACTGTCTTTAAGCGTCTTACTTTTGCTGACCACATTGCAGTTTCTTTCCTTAAAAAACGCAGTTTAACCAAAGGTTGACTGAGTGTACGCGGTAGCGCACGCGCGCGGTCACAAACTGCCACGCCTGACGCAATCTCCGATGGCTGGCTGGTGGGCTGGCGCTCGTGTCGGTGCTGCTAAAAAGGAACCCGAGGCGCTGCTTTCAGTAGAGGTCAAAGGTAAATCAATTCCCACTGGACAACATCTACCGCTGCCCGGAATAATGTCCGTGCAGTTTGTCGTGGTTCTTTAAATGTCGACTGGAGCTACTGGACAAACAAAGGCGCTGCGTTTGACATCTTGTCTTTAAACAAAACCAAAAAGACTTGTCAAATAAGAAACAATCTAATTCAATGGTACAAACTGTTAAAGTAAAACAGGTAAGAGTTAATTAATTAATTATAATCAAGGCTAAAATGCTTTTATCATCTTCTACGCCATCTGTTGGGGAAACGTGGGTATTGCAAGGAAAAATCAGAAGTATAATGACAATATAAATAAATTATATAATTTGGAAAAAGTTTGGCGGGCCGGATTAAAAAGCTGAACGGGCCGCATCCGGGCCCCCAGGCCTTAGTTTCCCATGCCTGTTCTCTTCGGCAGCTCTACTGTGACATCTGAACCGGTTCATTGTCAACACTGGGTTTAACATCCGCAATTATGGTGCTCATGGAGGAGGAGAGGTGTTCAGGTATCGTTTTGATAGTTTTGATTGACTTAAGTGGCGCTTTGGCCCAGAGGCAATGTCTCTGTCTTAGGTGTGGTTGTGGCAAGTTCGAATCCCAGTTAGGGCGTTTGGTACCTTCCAGTGGACTCACCACCTGCAGGAAGGTTTAGGGGGGTTGGTACGGTGCAGTGTGATTTGGGTGGAGACTGCTGCCCCCGCGACCCGGTAAGTGGATGCAAATGGATGGATGGTTGACTTAAGAATCAGAGAAAAAAGTTCACTTTTGAAATCTTCTCTTGAAAAAAGGCATCAGCAGTCGACGTTTATTTAAAAAAAAAAAAAACTGGAGTTTAAAGCAACCGTTTCTAGATCTGCCCAGGAGACCACGATTGCACAAAGGATTAAACTGCGCAATTTCCCCCTGGATCCTTTACACCAGTTAACACCCAAACTGTTTAAGGTTTGGGTTTTAAAGACAAACCCATTACGAGCAGCAAGAAACAACAAAAACTACACAGATACGTCCGTTTGTGCCTCTGTTCGTGTTAGCATGTTAGCATGTTAGTGTGTGTGTGTTGATCACGTGACTCACCCCAGCTTGTCAGTCAGGTTCCACAGAACGTCCGGCGTAGGCATCAGGGGTGAACCGTCGTACAACACCACGGAGGATCCCACGGCCAGAGCCGACACCAACCAGTTCCACATCATCCAGCCCGTCTGTGAACGCCACAGACGCACAAAAAAAAAGACGGGTCACCGACATTGGCAACATTTGCGTCGCATTCAATGATGAACGGCATAGTCACCGTGACGCTAACGTCGAGAAACAGAAGCTCGATTTTAACGCGTTCAATTTCAGAAGAGAGAGCAGAGAGCAAGGTGGGGGGCGGGGGGTTGAGTTGGGGGCAGATCAGACAGGTCAAGGGGCTCAATTCCCTGACCACTGGGTTGTGTCTGAAACCCAAGACAGATTCCAGGGATGGAGCATAAAAAAAAAAACACATTAGGATTTCAGCTGTGAGAATCCTCAGACTACGGAGTTCAAATGGTTAATGATGTCGTAAATTAGTCTCCGGGCCACTTGATGTGGAATGAGATGAGATTTAAACAAAAAAAGATGAAAGATAAAAAGAGATGAGATTTCAAGATGAGAGCAGATCAAAGAGATTAGATGAAATGAGATCAAAACAGATCAAGATTCAAAAAGATTAGATGAAATAAGCCTGAAGGAAATTCCACGAGATTAAAATTGGACTGAGAAGAGATCGAATTGTAGGTGTGGGATTAGACCGGACAGGGAGATATGAGATTAAATACAGGAGGAAGGGATGAAATTAAAACGGGTGAGGCAGGACTATGGAGATGGGGTGAGATCTCTTAATCTCATATTAGGAGATGGTTTTAAATGGGAAGAGATCAAATACAAATTGATTAGATGAAGAAACGATGATGTGAGATTACAGGATTAGAGATTAGACGAGGTAATGAGGAGAGACGAAAAGAGAAAAATAAAACTAACTGGATGAAATTAGGAGATACCTGAAGAGACACCTCTTCAGGTATCTCCTACTTTCATCCATAAAATGACTTTTCATCCTACTTTTTATCCATAAGAAAGATAAGAGAGATTAAAGGAGATTAGATTAAGAGATGGCATGAAAAAAAAATATGGGGTGCAGTTCCCTTTATTGACCACCAAATCTACGTAAAGCGGACTTTTCTCTTTGACCTCTTTGGCCAAGATGCATCAGCAACAACCAATGAAATCAACAGAACCAGTGCAGAGGAAGACCGCTGCCCTCCTGTGGTTGGTGGACCTACCGTAGTGTAATAAATGATGACGTCACTGCTGGTCATATTGCCATGAAGAACGTGTTCCTTCAAGTGTTGGATGAGTGTCCCCTGAAAGACACACAACACTGTAATTTTGCAAAAAATTAAAACTTTTTTTTATGTATGAAAATATTAGAAAATAAACCAAAAACAAATCTGCTGCTCGTGACAGAAACAGAAATCAAACGGCCGAGTGTCCCACAGCCCGCGAACACATCACAGACAGACAGGTTTGTAGCAGGGAACAGAGAAGGAACCGTTCATGTGTGACTGTTCCTGCCTCACCCCTGAGCCCTGAGTGTGTACTCTGCTGTTCACACAAATCGCTGGGCCGTGCAGTTGCGCCCGGGCGTGTGCGCGTAACCTTTGGCAGGACTCGGCCGCCGTGTCTGCGCCACACTGCCACTGTGACCGTGAGTCAACGGAGCCGTGGCGGGGCAGAAAGCACGACAGTGCTGCGGCTAATTGGCCGAGCCAGAGAGGACTGCCAGCGTTTCTATATGAAATGTTTTCAGCGACGCATTACGGCCCAATTATCGGTGGCATGCGGGGAAAGACGCAAACTTAAAAAACAAAAGTCAGGAAGCCAGACAGAAAAACGGAGAAGAAAGGAAGGGCGGGGGGGGGTGTCAGAAACGAAATCAGGGAGGAAAGTAAAAGTAATGAGGGGAGAAAGAAGAAAGAAAAGTGGCTATAGGACTGAAAAGGCAAAAAAAAAAAAGATCTGTGTGGGAACCTTTGAGTGTTTAATCTTCTATTGTGGGTGAGGTTTTGGTGGATGAGGGGGGGGAGGTTGAAGTCATTTGTTTAACAGCCCATGTCACCAGGATGGGGTATCTAACAGGGACAAAAATGACATTCACACTCCCTGTTGAGAGCAAATAACCTTTAAAAGGCCCGCAGGAGGATGGATGTATGCTGCCATCTTATGGCAGAAAATGGAACATGACTCTTTATTTAAATTCCGTGGACATCCGTGATCTCACACGTTTGAGATCGGACCACAGCTAAAATCTGGTGAAGTCAGACAATTTCCTCCTGACTATAAATAAGATGAACTGTCTGGGCCACACGGTGGAGGATGTGGTTACTGCAAGCTCAGCGGTTTGCTGGTTCAATCCCCCAGCTCTCTGTGTGGATTTCTCGGATTTCTCTGGGCACTTCTAGTTTCCAAAGGTAAAAAAAAAAAAAAGTAGGACAAGATCACAGGTTCACTCTAAAATTGACACAGAGTGTCATATTTAGGTGTGAATCGTTGCTCGTTTCCCCGTCCAATGTGTGACCCCACGCGTCTCCGATGACTCCTGATTTGGCTCTAAAGCTCTAAAAACTGTCTTAAAAATTTTTTTTTTGGTTTGACAGGTTGACCGCCAACTTTACGTCTTGTCCCACTGACCTAAAAATTCAGATTTTCTTTTCTCTTTGGACTCACTTTCAATCTGACAGAGACTGACTGATGGCAGGAGGATGTTACTACAGCCGGTCAGTGTTGACTGTTTGTCTCAGCAGTGCAAACAACACAAACGAAAAAAAAAAAAAAAATTTCATATCAGGTTCTCAATAGTATTTCAATTCAAGAGAATTTTTTGGGGGGGTCGTCTCGCATCATGTTTCCCAGGAGTTTAGGAATAATGTCAATTGACTTTTAAAATATGGGTGCCGAGAAAAGACTGCTCTAGAGGTGGCATGACGAGAAAATAATTGAGAACCACTGCTGTAAGGTAGGAGCAGTTACCGCCCAAACACCGTGTGGCCCCAGGTTGGAAATTTTAAATTTTGTTTGAAACATTTCCAGTCATTCTGATCATCTGAACACTACACTTCAACAACATCATTTTAACAAATGGTTAATTTATACATTATTAAAGGTCAATTCTGCGTGTTTCAACTCTGGTGTGAACCTGTTATTGTGTTATTTTTTTTTTTAAAAGTCTGTACTCTGAGTCCGGATTAGTGAACTCCAAAGGCGGAGTCTCAGAAAACATTCTTTTTAAATCGACTCCTTTTTCATCGTGAGCTGTGAGGTTGGAGATCAAGTGTGCTCAAACATAAAAGTTTTTTTTTTTTTAATCGACCAGGAGGATTTTAGGATTCCTTAATCAAAACAAGGAGCTGAGCCAGAGTCCACGGCCTGAGCCGCAGCTCCTGGCTACAGCTGAGCTTTATAAGCTACAGAGGAGCAGAATAAATGTGTCTGCCAATGGGCAAATGTCAACAGTAATGTACAGCACTCTCTACTGCAGGAAAAAAAATAAATAAAAAAAATCATCATCCACACACGGGCGATTGCTTACCCCGGCAGAATGGACCATACATTTAGGAGCTCCCGTGGTTCCGGACGAGTACATGATGAACAGCGGGTGATTAAACGGAAGCTGTTCGAACTCCAACTGAGGGAGCTGGCCGCCATCCCCCAGTCCAGACGCCAGGAAGTCATCGATGAAAACGCTGCGGTCAAAAGGGAGGGAAAAGAGACACACGTGAGCCGCCGCTCGTGTTCCATCGTGTAAACCACGTGTCAAACTCAGGGCCCGTGGGCCAAATTTGGCCCGCCACCTCATTTTACATATGCGGCCCACCAGGCTTTAACATGCATTTGTTTGTTTTGAATAATAAAACTTTACAGCAGTGATGCTCAACTGGTGGCCTGCAGGCGGAATCTGGCCCACCAAACCATCCAACTCGGCCGGTGACTGGATTCCGAAAATAAACATCAGATAATAATGTGATTTTTATTCCATTTTTATTTTTTAGGGTAGTGGTCAAATTCTGCATGTGTGTAACACAATTTTTTTTTTTAAAAAGTGTCTGTTGTTCTGTGGTCATGTCAATACACAGACACAGACACACACACACACAAACACACCTGTTTGGGATCTTGGAGATGTCGGCCTCATGTTTGGAGCGAGCGTAGGGTATAACCACAACTTTCTTCAGGTCGGGAAGACCTGTGAAAGAAAAGGTCACATTTTTGTTAGTACTTATTTTTATGATCCTTTGACCAAAAAAAAAAAATTATCACATTTAACGTAATGGTTGACGACCTTTGACGACGCTGCTGAGCTTCTCCATGTGGTCGTGTGTTTTGCCGTTGTAAACCACGGCGGCGACGGAAAAGATGAGTTTGGGCTGAATTTGAGAAAACCTGTCGAGGACTCCCTGAAATATATTAAAAAAACATATTTAAACATGTTTAATTAATCAGAGAGGATTCAGTCTATAAGACACAAATGGATTTACACAAAGATATTCAGTGTAGTTCACAGAGCAGCCAGAAGGGGCAGTAGAAGACAAAAAATCTTTACATTGATTCCAAAGTCCACAGACGTTGAGCTCCAAATGGCTCCGATGCTAGCTGCTGCCAACATGGCCTCCACGGCGTGGATGCCATTGGGGAGGTAGCCTGAAAAGAAGAAAACAAACTTGTGGTTTATACAATTCAATAGTATAAAAAAAATGTTAGAAATATCTATGTGACAATTTTTTATTTTATGAAAACAAATGTGTTTGTTATGAGTTATATCAGTGTCCACAGAATGGGCTGCGTTCTAATAGGGCTGCTGAGAAGTGGAGCACATCCGACACAGCACCGTCGCATTGGTTCTCAATTATTTTCTGTCATGCCCCCCCTAGGGGACAGAAATGTTTTCACGCCGGCCCCACTCTCCCGACCCACACACTCAAGTAAATGAACATACTATTCAGCGCTTGCGAATATGTATATTTTTATCTGTACAAACCACTGTATGAGCTGCTGCCCCCTAGTGACTGGAGGGCTTGTTGTCCTTCAAGCATTACAGCAGTGGTACACTTAGGGGGGCCCGCCCCACTATTTGAGAAGTACCGCATTAAAGACACCTGAGCCGACAGACAGCTCTGATGTCGGGATGTCTGAGGTCACAAGGTCATCTCAACACCATCAGTTAAAACTGTGAGAGTGGAGCTGTGAACTGTTGACTGGAGGAGAACCTCAGGAGGAGGAGAACCTCAGGAGGAGGAGAACCTGAGGAGGATAACTTCAGGAGGAGAACCTCAGGAGGAGAACCTCAGGAGGAGAACCTCAGGAGGAGAACCTCAGGAGGAGAACCTCAGGAGGAGAACCTCAGCAAAAGAACCTGAGGAGAAGAACCTCAGGAAGAGAACCTGAGGAGGAGAACCTGAAGAGGAAAACCTCGGGAGGAGATCCTCGGGAGGAAAACCTCAGGAGGAGAACATCAGGAGGAG